TGTTGATAGGATTTGACCGAGTACGTATCTTGCCTATTTCATTGTCAACTTAATTTTTGGAGATGTTCTTCCTTTTGACAAAAAAAAATTTATAATAAATTTTATAAGTGAAATATATAAGTTTTTTATTAAAAAGCCAAAGATTGCTAAAAAGTTTCATTATTAGCATTGAAAAAGGTCAAGGTCAAAAGTAAAGAAATTAAAAATCATGAAATTTGCATTTATTGTCTGTGTTTGTGTTGAAATGGGCGAAAAGCCATCCCATTTCACTCGTTTTCTTTGCTAGCTTTGTAGTGTAGGTATAGTTTATGGCAAAGTCACCGCAAAGGTTGTTTTCAATGCACATGATTTTGTTTGTTCCGAATATGTTATCCATGTCTTTTTTTTCCATTCACTTCAAATATTTAGCCAGAAATCAATTAATAGACTATCTTCATATTACTTCCCATACACCAAAAAAAAAAAAAAGAAAAAGCTTCTAAATTTATAAAAGCATGACAGCGCTTGAAAATGCTACCAAAAAAGTTACCAAATCTTTATTTTTTTTGTAGTGCAACGACCTATCATATTTTATCTTTTTTATTACATTTATGTTCATATTTGCCCTTCATCAACAATACGAAGAGAAATTCGAGCATTCGGTTTCAGCTTTTATCTTTAATTAAGGTAATTTCGAATTCAATTCTCCAAATAGAATATATTTAAATTTTATTTTTTAAAAAAATTACTTTGATCTAATTAAATTTTATATCAGCTTCATATTAATAAAGCAAGGAGAAATTCAACCATTAGGTTTTAGTTTTTTTCCTTTATTATGGTAATTTCAAATTCAATTCTCCAAATAGAATATATTTAAAAATTATTTTTAAATAAAATTACTTTAATCTAATTAAATTTTATATAAGCTTCATATCAACATCTTTCGTTAAATGACGTAAAAGTAATTTCCATTCTTTTTCTTCCCTGTAGCTAAAACGCAACAAACTTATGGCAAATCTTATTGCATCACATTCAAAGCAATTTCTTTTCCTTTCTTTTTTTTTTTTTAGCAAAATATATTTTTATTCTCAAAATCTTAAAACATATTTACTTAAATTCATATTCCTTCAAAAGTCAAATTTTACACAATAATCAAATTCACTACAGCACATTTAAAGTCGCAGTTCACTTCTTTGTAAGTTTCATTATTATCATTTTTATCAAGTAAATAGAAAAAAAGGCAACCCTTTTTTTTTCCTTTTTTTTTCTTAATTTTCCTTTCTTCTATAATTTGGACTGTGAAAATAGAATTTTGTTGGGACTTTGCCCATTTTAAGATGAACTAAGGTAGAAATTTTTTTTGGGTTTTTCAATTTTGTTCTTGATCATCGTTTGATATGTTCTTAACATATTCTTTATTTTCTGTTGAGTTGCCTAGCAAATCTGATAGAATTAAAGTAGGATATCCGCTTTGTATTGCAGCTGGCTTTACCAACATGTTTCCTGCTCGGAGGTGTGGGTCCCTTAACTCCCCATTACACCCAAAGAAACAATGGAACTAGAGAAGTCGCGGAGTTGCAGTCCTGAAGTCAGTGAACGAAAACAACGCCCTTTTCTTCTTTCCATCCTATTCTCATATTGTTTTCGCCAACTTCGAGAGGGACATGGAATCCAACTAGATTAAAATACCTTTATTTAAGTATAAAATTTAAATCAGAATAAAGATTTTACACTATTTTAGTTAAAGAATAAACTCCAATAGATTTGGGTTCAAAAATATGGGATTTTTTTCTAAATTAAAGTATTTTTAAATTTTTAATTCCTAAAATAGATTGATTCTAATCTTATTTCTCAAATTAAGGTATTTAAGCTAAGTCAAATTCATGACTGAAACAATCTTAAAAAATTATTTTAAAAATAATATCAAATTAAAAAATAGTTAAAATATCATTATTTTAATATGTTTAAATATATTTTGGATTAAAATTAAATTTAAAAATATTTTCCTTCTACAAATTTTAGAGTTTTTCCCTAAACTAAACTAAAGTACTTTGCAATCTTATTTCTTTAATTGGAATATTATTAAATTTTATTTTAAAAATTAGGTAATATTATCCCATTCTTCCATTTTTCAACTCATTAAAACTTTGATAAATCTATGATTATATATATATATATATGTATGTTATCTCTTCTTTTTTTTTCCAACTAAGTGGAAATTACTTAAAAAAAAGAAATTTAATACAACATGATTTCTGAAATAACAATTCCCTCCACTTAAAATTATCTAATTTCTGAAATGATCAACTCACAAATATAGAATCAATGCCTCGTGATGCTACCAGCTTTTGAAAATTGACGACCATGATACCAGCTTTTGAAAATTGCTACCATGCTACCAGCTTGTGAAATATTTTTCATGATGCCAAAACCTAAGGAGATTCAGAAGTTTCTTCAATCATAAATTGCTAGTCAACGTATCCATCACTGCAGTTTTTTATAATGATTTCAGGGTTTCCAACTCTAAGCAAAATCCAGACTTGTAAAATATGCAATATCCAAGCAACTCTATAGAACAAACTTCAGTCATGAATAGGCTCAATCAACACAATTTAAATTAATAAACCTGCTTTTCATGTAGTCCTTCAAAAAAAAAAAAGAATCGTTCTTGATATTTTGACAGAAATCCAATCTTAAAAAAAAAGTTGTTCAGTTCTCTCATTCTTTAACGAAGCAAGATCATTTACATCATCTACATGTTGTGATTAAACATGTGAAACACATGATATGTTAGATAAATATATCAGTTGCGGATCCATTTTTAGTGGGAGGATGTCCATAGACACTTCATAAAATTGAAATAATAATAAATTTAAAGAAAAAATTTTCACTAAACACTTCGAAACTTTTCTTTGAATACTTCCAAAGATGGAAAAAAAAGATAGAAAATTTTTTTTTCCTAAAACACCATAAAATTGATAAATTTATTAATAATTATTTTATATATTATAAATAGACACTTTTAGAAAAATTATGGATCCGCCATTAAAACCTACATTCTCACATTAGAAATTTGTGCCACATAAATTCACATGGCAACATCCTAAGTAAATCTATTTAAGGGTCAAGCTATACGCCCAAATCCAAAAACTCATTCAATTTTTTAGAGGGTTTGAACAAAAAATAAAAACTCTTTAAACAAGTTTAAATATAATTTTTAAACCCATTTAAATTCTAAATCAGGCCTTGGACAAAAAAATTTTAAGCCCAAGCCCACTCGATCCAACCGTAATTTACATATACATAAATTTTTTATTTTTATATAAATGTGAATTATATATTAATTCACGTATTTATAAAATTTAAAAATAAAAATTATATATATTTTTTATTAAACTTAATTTTTACTTTTATATAATTTTTATTTTAATTTATATATATGAATTAAATATAATCTCATTAAATTTAATTGAATTATATATTTTTAATATTTTATTATATAAATTAAGTTTAATGGGTGCGTTCAAAATTTTTTTTTTTTAATTTGAATCAGGCTTGAAAAAATTTTAAAGCCTAAAATTTCAAATTGGGTCGGACTTAAACAAACATATAAGATATTAAAATCAAATATGAACTCAGCCTAAACCCAATCCGACCCAACTCATTAATACCTCTAATCGTAAAACTGAACAAAAAAAAAAAAACTAACTAATGCTGAATAACCCAATTCTACAAAGTTTCATGATTTTGAAGCGGTAAGAGTGAATTAGATTCAAGAATTCAATTTAACTAGCTTGTAACATGCACGATGCACAGTTAATTTTTTATTTTATAAACATACAAATATAAATAAATGATCATTATATAATAATATATAATATTTTATATAGGTGTAAAATCAATTGGTTTGATGTAGTTTTATAGCTTTAAGTATGATTAATATTTTAACAACCCAACCATTGAAACTTTTCAAACCAATGTACATGTACTTATCATGCACATAAAGTTTTAAGTCAATCAAATATCTTTATCATACAAATTGAGATATATATTTTTATTACAAAACAAATAGTTAAACATTTTTAATTAACTCAAAATTTCATAATGCATGATTTACATGAATACTTTAATAAAGCATGACATCCAACAATTTGATTAATCAAATATAAATGGTATAAGAAGTATGAAAAAGAGTAAAACTAAATTAATGTTGTGGATCTCTCCCACATATATATATAATAAACTTTTTATTTAAAAAAAACTTTAAATATTCAATTAAAAATGTTTTTAAATAAAAATAACAAATTTGTCTAGATAAAATTTTGGATAGACTCAAATTTGTTTCATTTTTAATATGTCTTCATGTTTTGTAAAAATATCAATATAACTTTTCATGTTTATTTTGATCAATTAAAGACAAGTTCATTTTATTTAAATAATCTATAATTTTATATCTTAAAATAATAATTAAAAAAAAAACTCCATCCTCATCTATATACTTTTTGGTGAAATTTAAAATATATCTTGTTACATATGATCTACATCAAATGTTAAAGTTTTTACATATGAAAATCTAATCTTATCTTTTGATCTCTTTTTATAAGAAAGAATTTATCAAATAAAATTTACATTTATCATTTTATATACATTTATAACTCCTAATCACATATTAATACGCATATATATATATATATAGAAGTAAAACAATAGTAAAACCCTATACCATGTGCAAGTTAATTTATATGCCGTCTCCTTGTATCCCAATTTTTATTGCATCATTGACTACTAAAGAATTAAAAGAAAAATCAAGCATATTCAATATAATGTGCTTGTTATTAGGCATGAGTTCATAATCAAATTTTAAAGTGATAACAATAATTAATAATTTAAGTCTTTTTCTTTGTTATGATTAATAAATGTATAGTAATATATGTATTGTTATAATATATAAATCTATAGATTTATCATTAGATACAATTTAATGAGTCACCACTAATCTTTTTCTATTTAAGTGTAATTGACTACCTAACTATATGCTTCAAATGTTCAATAGCTATTCTAGAAGCCGAATGCTCCAAATGTTCATTATTTGTTGGCCTGAAATCAAACATCTTAGCTATAAGCTTCAAATGCTCAATAGCTATTCTAGAAGCCATTTCATAACCCTCTGCAATCTGGATGGGATGAATCCCACGTTCTAATAGCCACTCTGCCTGCTCTAAAAGTATCCAGCCATGACAACAACACCAATCGTCCCATCACCAATTTCATAATCTGGACTTCGGGATAGTTCAACCATGAATTGGCAATTTGATTGTCAACATCCATTTGCTCCAATATCTTCGCTCCATCATTTGCTGACAGCATCCAAAAAACAAGTCAGGAACTTTGAACACGATCTAGTGTATGATTTCACTAACAAATCAGAGTACAGAAATATAAATTTCAAGATGCCTTTTCCTCAAACATTAAGTCAGCAAAATTTTAACTAAACCAAAGTTTCCAATTGAAGACTATTAAGTTTAATAAAGAAACTATAAATCCTGAAATTACAAATAAAACCTACATTTATCTTCAAAATAGCTTATTCTAACTAACTTCTTCTTTCGAAGCTCCAAGCCAAATAGAACATTAATCAAAAATAATTTTTTAAAGCCTATCGAGTAACCAGGAACTTAATGATCAAGCAAAAATTAGGAAAAAAAAAAATTAAACTAAACAAAAGAGTTGGAAATGAGTTAACTAATGATGACATCGCCGTCGGGGCTTTGGAAAATTATCTACGCATAATCTTAAGTTGTTAAAAGAACATAAACCAAAAAGATAACAGAAAATTAGTAGAAAATCAGCAATGTGTTGGTAAGCTTTGAAAGATTAATACTTCTAACCCTAGATTTTTTAAAATGAGAAAGAGAAAAGGGCATTTAAAGGCGAAATCAAGAATCTTTCTCATTAGAGTAATGGCAATGATGGAATTGATTTGAGCTGCTATGGTGAGTAACTGATTAGGCAAACAATTCATCAAAAACTTTAAAAATTAAAAGAAAAAAAAACAAATAAGCTTCGACAGATTAACCAAACATACCTGAAAAAAAAGATTTATGGCAGAAAATAATTGAAATCGAAGAGGTCACTGGCAACATGAAGCAGATGCAGGAGCCGAATGAAAAGCGATGGTGGCACAAATAGAAGAAACAAAGGCGAAAAATTCTAGGGTGGAGACACCAATTTGCAAATTGAGTAGTGTTCATTGATTTTTTCTTTTTTTTAACAATTTGTTTTTTTGGATTTTTTTTTTTTTTTGCTTTTTAAAAAGAATGGCTCCTAGTATTTTTATGGCTTTGCCTTTTAGTGGGAAAAAATAAAGATTATCACAGTGAGGGTGACGGCTATTATTAAATGTTTAGACGATACTTTTCGTTTTTCATTTTTTTTAAGTCAAGATTCTTTTTTAATAATAAAATTATTTTTGTCTATTATTCTTATAAAAGGAAAAAAAAATTAATCAAATGAATATCATTTAAGTACAACTAATAAAAATTATTTACTAAATATTATTTGATTCTTAACTTTTATTAAAATGAAAAATAATTTTTCACTATTTTTTTTTACAAAATAAAAATAAAAGAGTTATAAAATCAACCCTTTCCTGAAGATGCTCTGCAGTCTAGCCGTGGGTTTGAGGCTGATTTCATTTACTTTGCTTAGAAAGTTATGAAAATATTACGTAGATAAATTCACATTTGTCCGTCATAAACAATACGAGAGTTCACTTAAAAAAAATATGATGAGAAGTTCTAACATTAGGTTTGGGTTCAAAAATAAAGAAAAGATTTTTTTCATGTTTCAAAATTATTGAATTTAAAGTTTATAAATGTATTAAACCTATTTAAGAGTTGGGCTATTCTTCTAAGTCCATAGGTTTATTTAAATTTTGAGAGAGTTTGAATAAAAAATTAAAACTTGTTAAATAGATTTAGGAACAATTTTAAGTCTGTTTAAATTTTAAACTGAACTTTAGACAAAAAATTTAAAACTTTAACTTAGTTCGACCTAGTCCAAATTTATATATATACATTTTTTATTTTTATGTATATGTGAATTATATATAAATTAATTCATATATATATAAATTAAAATAAAATTTATATATATTTTATTAATTTTAACTTTTATATAATTTTTATTTTTAATTTATATAAATATGTGAATTGAATATAATTCTATTAAACTTAATTTAAGCATATTTTTTAATTTTTTATTATATAAATCGAGTTTAATGGGATTTTTTTTTTAATTTAGATTAGGCTTCGAAAAATTTTAAAGCCCAAAATTTTGAGCAAAATTGAGCTTGACAAACATATAAGCTATATGATTAATATTTGTTTAAATTATTTTTATTTTTAATTTATTTTAATTTATTTTTATAATTTAAAATATTTAAATTTCAATCGAATGTATTGTTTGCCTTTGGATAGAACAATGTCTAATTCAACTTGTACACACACTCATCACTTATTTATAGGCTTGACATCAAGATCTATCTACTTAACTGTATCTCAGCACCCTCAAGATTAAGATCTTCTTCATTTAACTGTATCTCAACGCGCTCAAGATCAGGATGATCTCTTTTTAATTGTGTCTCAACACTCTCGATATCAGGATTAACACCCTTGATATCAGGATCATCTCTTCTCGACTGTGTCTCAGCACTCTTCCCCCACAACATGGCATATGTTCAAATAATAATTAGTAATCCACCTATAACGCTGTTAATTTTGAACAAAAAAACACCCCAAAATTAGTGGAATATATGATAATGTTATTTGATCAAAAAAGTTGAAAGAAAGTTATTAGATACCTCCCTAGGTGAATCTCCTCGTGTAGTAAAGTAGGGCACATGAGTGCTGTAAAGATGAGGGCTAAAGGAGAAGTCGCGGAGACAAAAACTGGTCCTTGTTGTCGTGCGCACCATGTTGCAAGCATTACTGACAATCCAGATGCAAGGATGCCCTATCCATTTTATTAAATGAAAGAATAAATTTAGCGGTAAAAAAATATCATTTACTTTTAACTTCTAAAACTTGTTTGTAAACTAAAGCTTAGTATTTCTATCTCTTTTTGTTTTCTCCTCCTAACCCTATCACTGTAGCTAAAAGTTTTTTCTTATTTCAAATATAAGATATAAAAGCATATTAAGAAATGTAATAGATAATTTTATATATCTACAAAATTAAGAAAAAAAAAACAAAATAAAATTAGTAAGTAATTACCGAGTAAGTTATGGCGCCAGCATCCTGCGCCAAGTACCAAGCAGACCAATCCCTCTCTATAGAGATAGCATAAATAGTGGAGAGTACAGTGCTACTACTACACATAAACAATAAAGAAGAGAAAACTGGGTAGGAGTATGTCCTGCTCATCATCGTCTAGTTAAAACAAAGGAAAAAAACTAATTGTTAATAATTTATATTTTATTTTAATATAGTTTAATTAAAATTCAAATATATGCATACCAATATGGTAAGAAAGATCGCAAAACAAACACAACTGCTGAAAGCTAACATGATCCATATACTGCCTTTGCACTTGGGTTAAAGCTGTTATCCCCTGATGCTGTAATAAATCCACAGAAGTGGACCCATAGATGGATGTTTGGTCCACTGTAGAAGCTAATAATCATGGCACCTGTTGATGCTAATGACGGTGCCAATCAACTTAAACTTTACCACGCCAAGTGGCTAAAGTGAAAGTCTCCACCCTAAGAAAACAAGTAAATATCCTTAGATCCAAACTTTGTTTTTTTTTTTTTTTTTTAAATTTCCAATACCTGAAAACGATTGCCAGCATGTAAGTGACGGCAAGAGATAGATTTGAAATTGCTGCCAAGTATGTCACAGAAGCAAAAGCAAAGCTGGCTGCAAATATATTCTGCCCTAGTGCTCCCCTTGATTCCACGAAACAAAATTTAAATTAATCAATAGATAATTAGGTTTTAAATAGAAAATTAAATTTTAAAAAATAAAGTGCATACCCAAAAACTCCAGCTAAGATGCCTAAACCAGCTATCCTCCATGTCAATGCGGGCCTTGTACTCCTGCAAAAAAAATTTTTTTTTTAAATTCATACGCAAATTATGAATCAATATATTATTTATTTCACATTTAAAAAACATATAAATTTAGTTTTTAAAAACGTACCTGTCGACTATCAATGCAAAGGGAAGTATACATATTGTGGCGACGATGAATTGATATACCACCAAAATTCGTAAACTAAAACCGACGTTATAAGACACCTTGTATAAGATATTAACCCCAGCGACAATGACTTGTGTTAACATCATGCCAAGAATCTAGAAAAACAACCTTGTGTTCATGGTGCTGAACTAATCATAACAACGTTAGTCTTAAATTGTAAAAAATAATATATTATATTTTTTAGAATCATGCAGTAGACATCATGCCCGGAAAGCTATTATATTTTTAGAAAAATATCATCACCTAAACATTATTAGAGAATCACTACTAAGATTTCTCTAAAATATCATTATTAAAAAATTTCATTCATATCTTTATTATATGCATGAACAATGTATCAACCATGAATTTAAACATGAGATATTAAATTAAAATAAGAATGAGAATCTAAACAACAAAAGAATTAACAATACATAAAATTAAACTTATAATTGAATTTAAACAATCATAAATAAATTATAAATATAATTAAATCAAACACACATAAAAATAAATAAACTTTATTAAAAACATATTTTATATTTTATATTTTAAAAATTTACTTATCACAATATTCTAAATAAAGAAAGTTACTACTTTATTTTTATTATTATATTCATATCAAGATTAAAAGAAATATATGAGATCCATTACTATGGTCCCACGTCATCCCTTTTTACTGCCTAAATGGTGTTAGTATTCCATTTTAAACCAATCCATTAAAAATGCAAAGAAGAAATAAAGAAAGCCACAATGGTCCCCTCGCCATGGCCTTTGTTTCTTCTTCATATGTGGCTTTCTTTTTTTGACACTATTTCTTTATAATGAAAGAACACAAGCAACCTACATGCAGCAAGCAACGCCTCATACAATGACTACAAACCAAGAAGAGAAAACAGTGACACCATCAAGGTCTCCCAAGTACACCCATTACCACCCTACCTTCCTTGAGACACTACCTACATATGACATCTTTTCTATTTCATTTAAAAAAAAAAAACCAATCAATATGAAACAGTGAAGAGACACTCAGCTTTGATAACAAGGACAACAAGAACCGAAACTAGATGGCACAAACTAGTAAAACAAATCAAAATGGCGTAAGCTTTCCTACAAGTAGATGCATGGAAAATAAACCATAAGCAAGGGACATGTTGAAACTTTAAGTCTCTTTAAACACATAAGGCAGCAAACATATGAATGATGGAGCTTTAAGACATGCAGCTTGAAACTTCATGGCTTGTACCAGAACCCACACGTGAAACTAAGAGCTGGAAAAGAAAGAAAAATTCAAAGTTTTAGACATTTCTTCACCCTCTAACAACTTACCTCCTTACTTTAGAAACCACCTTCGGTTAAATACATAAAAACATCCAAACCGTGACTGCTTATGGAAGCTAAGCAGCACGGTTTGGCAGCAGCTTTCCAGGTCTCTCTTTTTTCTTTTTTTCTTTTCAACTCATACTAACTAAAGGATGACCATGAAAGATGGAAGAGAAAAGGATTTGGCAAGACTTTATGGGATGAAGCCGATTGCTGCAGCTGCCATTGGAAGAGACAGGGAGCATTCGGCCAAACCAAAAAATCAGAACTTCATCTCTTTTGCAAGAACAAAATAAAACAGAAACATAAATCAAACACAGCTTGAAACTTTATCAACAAATAGCAAACACAAAACATACAAGGAACACATGAAAAAAACTTTGTAGAGCAGATTATGGGGAGTGCAAGATGGCATGAAAATAAAGAATAGAAGTAGCAAATAAGCGCCCTTAAATGGCTGCTCACCTTTGCAACCTTACTATTTTCTCTTGGTTTCTCTCCCTTCTTTTTTTCGCTCCTTTTTTTTTTTCAGAAGCTTCCTCCCCCCTTTTTTTTTTTTAGCTCTCTCCTCCTCTCTTGCCCTGCTCCAGCAACTTCCACCTCTCTTTTTGTTCGGCAGACCCAAGGAATGCCAAATTTTCATCTTACTCAATGAGGGCCCTTGGATGAGATTTCATCCAAGGGCCACAATTCCGCCTGTTCTTATTTCCAAGGGGCCACCTTTGGCCCTTGGATTAAAAGCATTAAAGAATCCAACGGCTCAGACTACCCACAGCAAAGGTTGAATCTTTATGCCCCTCCAACCCATGGAAAAGACTATTTTGCCCCTTAATGCAAAATTTTGAAATTTGTGGTTATTTTCTTAGAAATCAAGGTTCCCTGGCCATTTTTGGGATTTTAAAACATAAAAAATCAAAAAATATTATAAGATTATGATCTGAAAAGTTTCGTGAAATTTTGAGCTTGGAAATATCAAATTACGAAAATACCCCTATAAGGGTATTTTGATAATTTCACACTTCTTTGGGTACTGATATGATTTTAAATACATCAAAAATCATGAAATATTATAGAACTAGGATCTGGAAAGTTTCATGAAATTTTGATCTCGGAAAGACCAAATAATGAAAATACTCTTATAAGGGCATTTTGTTAATTTCACACTTATTGAGGTATTGCTCTGATTTTAAATGCATAAAAAATCATGAAATATTATAGGATTAAGGTCTGGAAGGTTTCACGAAAATTCAAGCTCAGAAAGATCAAATTACGAAAATATCCCTTATAAGGGTATTTTGGTAATTTAACTTTTTTAGGGATACAATAAAAATTTTAATGTTTTGAAAAAAAATTTCAAATTCAATTTAATAACACCCTGATTTCATTGAGATTTTAAAATTTCATAATTAATCTGAACAAAATCCGATGTCTACAAGCGTTAAGCAACTGTGCTTTTAAGCTACTTTGTTGATTAAATTGGTTTTCAATGATCTATTTTCATGCTACAGATGTTAAATGGTTTTTAGGTCTTTCTTAGGATTACGTTAGTAACAATTATGTTTTCTCTAATTTTGGATATCATTTTTAACTTAGAATATGGTGTTGGTTGAGGGCACACACAATGGTGCATTAAGCTAGCTCTTATGATTAAAAAGCCTAAATATCATTAACTGAGCTTAAGGGATGTGATATAAGATTAATTTGCAAATTACCCTTCTTGTCTTGAAAGTTTGAAAAACTAAGTGTAAATTAATAGGCAGTTAAACAAAAAAGATTTCAGCTTCAATCTTATTAATTACAAAAAATTCACCCTTAATTTTAAAAATTCAAGTGATGTTTATAGGTTTAATTAGTGCTTAAATTCAGAATTTAAGATGAAGTTTTTATCATAGGTCGATTAGGATAATTATTTTCTTTTCATTACTATTAATATGCATTAAAATAAAAGATATGCTCTTCTGTAACGTGCCATCAAAGATAGTAGCATTAATATGTATTAAAATATTCTTTTGAAGATTTTTTATCCCAATTAACAAAGATTTTGTAAAACGTAATCTACAAATATTCATAAATAGCAAACAATTAATTGACTACTATTAAAAATATAAATAAATAGCTCAGCTCAAACAGAAAGAAAATAGAGAAAATTAAAAACTAAAGAGGAAGTAGAAATTACTAAAATTACATGCACATTAAAGAAAACCCAATGCATTACCTTAAGTACCTGTGAATAAATGAACACGTGAATTTCGCATCACATACTCAACAAAGTAAGTGGCAATGTGGCATGGTTAGGAATTTGTATAAGTGGCATTAATATTAAAATATTATTTTTTTGTTTATATTTTTTATTTGATATAACACTGACAAAATTAAATAGAGAAAAATATCACACAATATAATATAAATTTTAAATAAATATATATTTTCTTACAATTTATCCATAATAAAAATTTATTTCAATGATTTCTGATTCTACATAAAACTTTTTTTTTTAACTTTTCTATCGTGCCGATTAAAATGTTAAAAAATAATACAAGTAGAAGGATAATAAAATATATTTTTTAATTTTTTTATAGTGAGATTAAATTTGTACTATCAAATAATTAATTATCTATGAAATAATTACTACATCAAGCACATCAAACCAATAATCATTTATAAATTAGATCAGACTCGTCATGAGAAAAACCACACTTAATTAGTGTGATGACAACAAAGTGATGAAGAAAGAATTTTAATAAGAAATAAACAAAAAAATTAAAATTAAAATAAAACTATAAATGTTATTAATGAAAAGGTAAATTGAAATATATGTTAAAAATTTTTTTCGAACTCAATTGTTAATGTTTTGAAAATTTCTTTTAAAAAATTATTAATTACTGCGACAAAGCAAAGCAACTTGAGTAATGTTTCACAAACTCTATTATATTGGACATTGTTGCTTCCCTTAGAAAACTTTGGAATGCTTTTGTTACGGAATTAACCATCGAGTTCCCTCGGTTTGAGAAAAAAAATTATGTAGTTCCCTATGTGTAAATACTAAACTTAGCAATGATAAGGTAAGCTTTATCGATTGAGTTTTTCAACCATCGAAAGAAGTTTTATAGGTTGGGTATCTCAACCAATATAGAAAGCTTTATAATTTTGAGTATCTCAATCAAGAAAGCTCTACAGGTTAAGTTTTTCATCAAGGAAAGAAGTTTTATAGGTTAAGTATCAACCAATAAAGAAAGCTTTATAGGTTGGACTAAGTTAAATGTTAAATGTGAAAGTCTAAGCATTTTGAATTAGCAAGTTATTGAACTTGAAAATTTTAGCCTCTAAGAAATTTTCAGACTTCGATTAGGTTCTACAAGTTAGTAAGCTTAAAAGGCTTGAACCATATAAAAAGTTTAGCCTTTGGCGAAAGTTGAAAGTGAAAGCAAACAGACATTCTTCCATTTATTAGAAAGCATTTGTCAAGAAAGGCTAAGATATCTACTAGTTTATATAAGTCATGTTGAAAATGAATCTTAACACAATGTTAAAGCATCTGTAGATTGCATTGCTGAGGCGCTAGAGTCCCCTTTGTGATGTGTAATGCTGAAAACTTTGAGTTCACTGCAGAGAAAATGAAAAAAAAAATTGTAAAAGCATTTAGGCAGTTTATGCAATATCTTTTAGAATTTAGCTCAAAGTGGTGGAAAAGGCCTTAGTTAGGTCTTTAGTGATAAAAAAGTAATTTCATATATATAAAAGACTGAAAATTTCATTTATGACCTTACTTTTTAGAAGCTAC